TTGCACTTATTTTCAGTGACACTTTGTATAGAAGCTAAATTGTGTGTCTCCCTCTAGTCTTTGTGAAGCTGGTTTATATGCTCAAGTCCAGGAATTTACATGACTTTCTTCTCAATTTCATCTTTGGCCCCCTGTTTTAGTATACTGATATCTTTTCAGACCTTTAGTGAACAGGTGGAATTAAGAACTCTCCTCTTCCCTTGTGGGCCACCCACTCGAGTGTGTGAACTTGCTCTTTGGAACAGCCCTCTGGCAATGGTTCTCAATCATGTGCACACATTGGAATCACCTGAGCAAGTTTAAAAATTATTGATGCCTGAGTCCCAGCCCAGAGGTCTTGAGTGCAGCCTGGGCATTGAGAATTTTAAAAGCTCCCTAGGTGATTCTGAGGTACAGCCAAAGCTTAGACGTACTGCTCTATGGGGAATACAAAAGGGAGTTCAGAGAATAAAGGATTTCAAATGGAAGCAAAGATCTGGTTGAAATCAGATAATAGACACTGCAACTTGAGTAATAAGTGGCTGCTGTGGAATAGAAGTATCAAAAGCAGATAGTAGGGAGGATTCGGGACAGGCAAATGATCCTGTAGAAAAAGTGTTGGAGGCAAAGAATTCAGTAGCGCTTGGTAGGATAAAACGAAAATGACTTACAATTGATTCTAGGCTGAAGTTGGAAAAGAAGAGATGGACCATTCAGGGAAACTCTGGTTGGGATGAGAACAAAGAACAAGTCTGAAGAAGTGGTGGAGATGACAGGTCAAGTGAGTTCAAAGAGGGAATTCTGAAAGAGAGGCTCTAAGTTGGGAAGTTCTCAAAAGAAGACACAACCCTATGTGTGGCAACATTGGAGTGTTGCTGAATTGGAGAAGAAGGCTGCATATGTAGAGAAGTTTTGGAATCAGGGTTACCTCATCCATCAACAGGGATGAAAAATACTCACGGCAGCACCTAAAATCATCAAGGGACACAGTAACTTGGAAGTCTGATGAAGATGACTCCATAATTGCGCAGAGAGGTGTTGGGCTCTGTGTCATGGCTGTGGAAGGGGGAGGTTTTGGTGGATGGATTGTGGTGGAACGACACTAACACTTGTGCATAGGGAGTGGATCATCTCTTTTTCTAAAGTTAAAGTACGCTGCCCCTACCGCCACAAAGTTATTGCCTTTTATAAAACCAGGTGTGCATTTTAAGATATTTCTATGCTGGTAAATGTAATAAACTGTAATCTTTATTTTTCATCACTAAGAACTAAATATTAGAGGAAAATGCAGTAAATACCAAACCAAAGAAACATTTTTTTTTTATTTCAGAATATTACGGAAGTATACACGTTTGGTTGTATAATTTGCTTTTGTACAGTTTGAGTCAAAGTTATAAGTGTGCCCTTCACCCAGATAGTGTACATTGTACCCGTTAGGTGTGAATTTACCCATCCCCTCCTTCCCCCTCCCACCTGCTTGATTTCCGTTGAGTTTTACTTCCATATGTGCATGTAAGTGTTGATCGATTAGCTCCAATTCAGTATCGAGTACATGTGTTTGTTTTTCCATTCTTGCAGTACTTCAACAGGTGCTCATAGTAAACGACAGAATGGGTGGACGGAATTGCCATGAAAATGACGCCTTCAGGGCCGGGCGCGGTGGCTCATGCCTGTAATCCTAGCACTCTGGGAGGCTGAGGCGGGCGGATTGTTTGAGCTCAGGAGTTCGAGCAAGAGCAAGAGCAAGACCCCGTCTCTACTAAAAAAAATAGAAAGAAATTATCTGGACAACTAAAAATATATAGAAAAAATTAGCCAGGCATGGTGGCGCATGCCTGTAGTCCCAGCTACTCGGGAGGCTGAGAGGCAAGAGGATCGCTTGAGCCCAGAAGTTTGAGGTTGCTGTGAGCTAGGATGACGCCACAGCACTCTAACCCAGGGAAGAGAGTAAGACTCTGTCTCAAAAAAAAAAAAAAAAAAGAAAGAAAATGACGCCTTCATACAGTATCAGAATGTGAAGATGTCCTCTATTTGCTTCCCCAAACTCGGATCACTCCCCTCCTTGTTTCCTCTATGCTGCCTCAAAAGCCAGTGAGTGTGGAGAAGAGAACACTCTTAAGTGTACATTAAGCTTAAATCCCATCAGAAAGGCCAGATCCCTGGCTCACTAAATCCTTCAAAGGGCTCAATAATGTAAACGATGGATGACCAACACTCTCTATAGGACAACTGCATTATAATAATTCTATAGCTAGATGGATATTATCAAAGTAGTGTGTCTTGTAAAAAGAGGTACTCTATAGATGGGCGTAAATAATTTCACCTATAGAATCACCCAGAGTTACAGTCCTCGAGAATATTTTTCATTTTAGTGAAATACTAAACCTAATTTATCCAAGTAATGGTGAAAAAAGCAAGTCTAATTTTCATGAAGAACATCAACCCCCTACTGAGCAGGGAGTAGGGAATCAAAATTTTATTACCAGAGAATGCAAAAACATAAAAAGGAGGGGTACAAGGAAAACCCATTATGGCACTGGTATTAGGGGCAAAATAATCCACATTACGGTCCCATGTCATTACGTCAAGGTATATTTGCATCCCTAAGTACAAGAGAAAATGGTATAGCCCACAGGATAGGTAAAAAATCGACTACAATGAATAATATTTGACACAGTAGTGCTATTTCTAGGTCCTAGTTATTAAACCCAGAGTAAAAGTGGTTCATTGATCTGTTTACAACATTCTAAAGACAAGGATTAAAACTGCTGTTTTATTCTGACATAGAAGAAACAGCTATGTAAAGCACTCAGTCCACTGTCTGGTCCATGGAAGGCACTCAGCAGACAGTTCCCAGGTTCACTGACTGACTAGACCCTTCCTCTCCCACCCCAAATACAAATCCTAATCACCCTTTAACAACCACCCATTGGAAATTATCAGATCAAACAAGGGTATTGTGTTAAATGTTAAATGTCCATATTAACAAAAGCAATCTTATAAAAGTATGAACATGCTAATTTCTCACATATGGGGTGAGTCAGGCCTAAGGTTGACATTGAAGAACAAAGGGCGAATAAAGGAAGACAAAGGAAAGGAAAGGAGAAACTAATGAGAATGCAGAGGAAGAATGGAAAGAGAACACAATGGTATTGTTAGTGTGAAGAGTAAACAAATTCCTCAAGTGCCAGGTCTCTCGTGGAACAAGTATCCCACAAGAATTTCCTAAGAATATGTAGAGCTGTGATGATCCTAGAACTCTGGGTTCACGGACTGCCAACACTACAGACGCGTTCATTCACTTTCACAGCTCCCGTGATTTTCTTGGCAACCAGTGGAAATCACTCTAGCCACCCCGGCCCCCATCAGCTGCTACCCTCTAGTGGCAGCAACAGTAGCCAGTCTAAGATGAAAGCTTATCCTGGCTTTGGAGCTGATCCTTTCAGGGGTGGCTCTCATGGGGCCTTCAGTGTCCTCTCGCTTAAGTGTGGTGCTTAGTTCCTCAGGGAATGACTTTACTCTCTCAGGGTAGACTCAAAATGACACTCAAAACAGTGGCCCTGCTAAATCCTCCAGTAGCCTTGGTGCTATGCAGTTCTTTCAAAAAACAGCTCTTGTGATTAGCACAGTCAAGCCTCTCCAAGGTTGGGTGTAAAAAAGCCTGTGTATATCAAGTAGGGCATCATCCTCAGCCTAGTCATCTGTCTAGTTTCTACTGTGTCCCGATTCTTCCTGGCCTTAGATGAGTGCCTCTCCTCCTTTAACCAGTCTTCCTTGGGCTTGCAGTTACAGCCAACTACTACCATTCTCCTGTGTCTGAATTCCAGTATTGTTAGCAGTGAGCAACTCACAATATTCCACTCCACTAGGTCTCTCTCCAGGGTTGAGATATATTCCAATCCCAGTGTTAGCCTTAGATAATTCAAAGCTACTCATTAAAACTACACATGCTAAACTATAATGATGAATTCTGGGCTAAAATTATAACTAAACATTTTGTCAAAGTAATTTACAATGAAAATTTTCAGCATCAGTACCCCATTATTTTGTATGATTGGGATAAACAGCTCAGTTTTTCCAGATTAACACATAATAGTTGCATTATGAAAAAGGTATTTATCATTATTAATTTACTCATTCATTTATTCAAGAATACTTGAGGGCCAGGGACTGTGCTAGACCCTGGGAATATGGTGAACAAAACAAACATGATCCCGAGATGTCCTAACAATAATTTCTACATTGTGGTACTTATCTCCAAAATAATCTGGCATATTTTAAACATTTTATTTAAAGGCAAAAATAACTAGTGGAGTAGGGAGGAGGAAAACATGCAAGTAAATACGCCAAGACTAAATATCATAGGAATTCTTTATCATTAAATCTATGTATTATGAACATGTTATAATTATGGTAAATTATATTGGGCACTGAAGTACTTGCTGCTCACTTAAAGAGTGCTAGTATTTTTTAAATTCCTCTCACTATGCATATCATATGCAATGTACTAATTGCTTAAACAGAACTGTTTATCAAAAATAATAGTAATTAAAATTCTGTACAGCAAAATTTTCATGCCAAGAATGAAAAAAAAAACAGCACAATGACTTCAAAACTAATATGTTACACTATAAATATATTATCAAAAGATACTTTTTCCTCTCCCTAGCACATAAAAGATAATTCATGTTTTTCAAACTTGATAGTTTCGGTATTAGAACGAACATGCAAATATATTAACAATTTTCTTACCAAAAATAAAGCCCAATATATATGCAGGAAATATTTAGGAAAAAAAGTCTGTCGTTGGTTTTAACGCGTACATATACATAAAAATAAATATATGTATACTCACAGAAGTAACATACATTGACAAAAAGTTACACTTAGCAAAGATCAAAAATTAAGCAAAAGAAAAAAAAATCCTGCTAGGCCTTTTTTTCTGTCTTTGAGGCTTCATAAAGAATACAGAAAATTACCAAAGAAACAAAAAAGGACACAAAATCACACTTCAGACAAACTGCTTGTCAGCATTAAGACATGATTTGACAAACAGGTTTAATCCACTTCCTCAAAGGTCATGCCGTCAAGGTGAAGGATGAACATCTTCCACTACTGAACTAGGGTGGCTGTCATTGTTCTGAGAAGTAGGATTCTCCTCCACATGCATTACTTTATCTGATGGTCTTGCAGGAGGAAGTTCATTACTTGTCTCCCCCTCACCAGGTGATAGGGTTTCAGGCAATTCATTGGACATTTGAACTTGCAAAGATTCGGGTCCATCTTCAACATCCACTTGAATCCCTAAAGCTTTAAGAATGTCGCATTTGCACATGGGGCATGTCCCATGGGATAAAATCCAGGGGTCAATGCAATTCTTATGGAAAAAGTGTTTACAAGTCAGAATACGAACTGTATCATTAAGCTTATAGTGTTCAAAGCAAACCACACAGCTATCTCCATTTGGATTTATCTCCTCATCTCCTTCTTTTAATACTCGAACTTGGAGCTGGCCAAATGCATTCTTGAGATCTGCTGTTAATCGTTGCCATCTCCTGGTCTGAATCCTTGCTACCCAAAGTCTCCGAATATGATAAAAGATGAAATATACTAAGGTAGCAGTTGTGATGATCACAAAAGAGACAAAATAGTGATTCATCCAGATCCCACGTTTTCTCCCCACCTCAATCATGACTGTAACGTGAACTCCCTTCTCAATTAAATGGAAAATTTCTTTGCCTTTTAAGTTGCCAATCATAACCACAACAATGCCTTCAAATGCCTGATGAGACATGGGGAACACTTCATAGCCAGTTCCTGAAAAGTTATAGATGATCACTCCACTGGCTCCCTTCTCTGTCGCCACCTTAATTTTCTGTGTGAAAGTACAACCCCCTCGTTCAATAAGTGCGAGCCAGGTCTCTGAGTTCTTTGGTCGGCTGAACCTGGTGTTGGGATCGCAAGCACTTTGGATTTTTCCCTCTGGTGGTACTATTACTCCTGTCACTCTCTTCAAAGTGGAGCTTCTTCCAAATACTCCCGTCTCCCCTAACTCTGACAACGTGCGATTCCCAACATGAAATGATATGTTCATGAAAGCCGTCCAAACAGCACTTGCTCGGCAACAGTTCTGACTAAAAAGCCAAAGAAAACTGAATTTTATAAGCCAGGAAGATGCGGTGTTGTTTCTCCAAGTGTCCATCTTGAGTAGATTCATCTTTCTCTTTGCCTAGTGACTTAAGAACCAACCCGACAAACAGATGTGGCTTCCACATCTGTTAAAAATCAGTTTTAGATAATGAAGAGAAAAAAATGTTCTGGATGAAAACAAGATCCACTGTCTTCCAGCATGTTTTCCTAAGAAATTCTTAAAGATGTCTTATGAGTTTCAGATGTTTTGTTAGAGAGAGAAAGAAAAAAACTTTAGATTGAAAAATAAATCCCAGTCTCACTACTGTGACTCTGGAGACTGCTTATTGTTGTGTGGTATGATTATGACATACAAGGCAAAGCAAAGCAGCCAATTAGGTAAGAGCTCAGAGTGAACTGCAAACCTATTGGCTTAAATGTTTCAAATGTTGTTATGAGTGATTTCTATGTTGTTATAAGGTGGCTTTAATTACTGAGCTGTTACATATAACAGTAGCAGGTAGCACGTTAAAGTAAAAATTTAATATAAAATCATTACAATGCTTGCTCTTTAAAACCTGAAAGCATATGCAAGAATGCTACATTTTTCTTCACAAGTAAAGGAAATATTTACAACAAAAGGCAAGTTAAAAAAAAGAATGATAATTAAAAATTAACACTGTGGGCAAATGTGAGGTAAAAGGGGCAAGCTCAGTAACACTACTTTTATATCACGTTTGGTCACAGTGCTAATTTTTGATTGGTAATGTAAACCATTGTACTACATTTATTTAATCCAAGCTTGCTTAGAAGCTGGTTGGTTTTGTTTTGTTGTTTTTATTTTTAAAAGTAGAGGATCCTGCTCGATTTACTTCCCACCTCACTTTCTCACTCTTCCATTGACTGTACACATCGACTACGTCTGACAGGAGTAAAGACAGAAGAGGGCAGCTCACTTCTCTGCAGACCCTGCCATCTGTTCTTAAACAATATTTTGAGGGAAGAAGAGAAAGGGTATAGGGGGAAAGATTAAATACAGCAGTATCAGTTTAGCAGAATTCATTTTTTAAAAATGTAGCTATTGATTTTAAAAAGAAAACTTTCGAGGTCCCCACTTAAAGTTAACCATTGAAGCCGCAACTGTTAAAGGTCATAAGCAGAAGCTTTTAACAAACATTTTTGCCAAACTCAATACCACCCCTGCTGAAAGACCCCACAGGCACTGTCTACTCTGCCTACAATTTTGCTACTCTCATGTCAGTGGCACAACATGACTTCAAAGGTAAAGAATGACATGTGAACTAACAAACATGGGCAGCCGTGGCGGCTGCTGACATCCTTCACTGGGAGTGTATCTCAGTGGGATTTTCTCATCAGCTAGGAAGTCAAAGCCAAGCATTTTGATCTTGAACATAAATGTCTCTGATCTCTATGAGCAGGATGCTAAGAGACACTTTTGGTTGGGGCTCCCAAGACTAAGGGAGCTGGTACTTACATGAAATGTGAATCTTCAACATGGTAATTTGTTACACGAGTAGGGAGGAAGAAGGAAAGAGGCCTGCGGGTCCAATAAAAAGAGGCATAAAAAGAAAATAATACTGATATGAAACCTTCAGCACACACTGGGTAAGTTTCTCTTCCTAAAACCATTAATCTGATTTTGTTGCCACATAATCCCCTCCCTTTGTTTTTTCAAAAAAAGTGTAGTACATGTTGTATAGACTCATAAAAGTGTCCCCTAAGTTGGACATCGAAGGTTCAGCATATCCTCCAGAAACAGAGATTTTCATCGATACAACAAAACCCAAATCTTTCTGCCCCTCAGTGTTACATAGGTGTTTATTCATCTCTAGAAAAGCGGAAGATGTAAAAATAAGGCAAAAGATACAATATGGAAAGGCAATTGTACAAAATTTCAGCTCTGCTCAGTTACCAAAATGTCCCAGAGAAACACTCATTTCCATTTGGACAAGAAAAGAGAAGCATTTACTAGAGATAATTCTAGAACATAAATCTGCTACCATAGCTAATGCGCTATGCTAAGATTTAAAGAGCTCTGGCAAACAGAGGTGAATGTTTGCAATGCTGTCCTAAATGAGGACTATAATAACTTAAAACACTTTTAGTTACATAACCAAAAGTACTATCATCGAAAATAATTATTTAGAACACATTATCCATCCAGTCAGGAGCTTTGGAAACCATATTTCCTGGGTATTAACAAAATTAATTAACCATGGAAATCAGAGATATAAATTATTAGGTACCAAAATTAAATAAAATGTGGAGACAAAATGTAAAAACTAGTATTAAAAAAGGAAACTTTAGTATGGATAATTCTCTGCGGCAATGTCATAATCCTAGTAATTTGAAGATAAAAATTAATATTGTTTTTAACATACACTAATGTCCTTATTTGGATAATGGCAAAAATGTCTAACAATTAAAACTGATTAGAAAGACAACAAGTACAAATAGCTGGGCATGATACAGAGTTTTATTTTTAAAACACACGAATTTCACCCTCTTTAGTACTTGGATAGGGAAGTTGAAATTTTCTATGTAAAATGCAGTAAGAGAATTCATTTAATCTTAGTATTTGGGAAGATCTGGTTACATCTTCAGAAGATTCTCTGGGTTTCTTAGGTTTTCAGAATGTCGCACTTGCACATGGGGCATGTCCTCTGGACTAAAAGCCAGGGGTCAATGCATGCCTTATGGAAAAAATGTTTGCAAGTTAAAATACGTACTACATCTTGGGGCTTGTATATGTCAAAGCAAACAACACAATTATCTCCATTTGGATCTAGTTCCTTATCCCCTTCCTTGAGCACTCGCAGTTGAAGCTGACCAATAGCTTTCTTCACATCTGCCTTTATCTGTCTTCGCCTCCTGGTGGAAGAATTGGGCACTCCAGGTCTCCAGGCACAGTACAGGAAAAGGCAGGCAACAGTGGCAGCCAGGAAGGTAAACAGAGACATGACATAATGGCTCAGCCATGGCATGTGCATCCTTCCCACTTCAATGATGGTCGTCACATACACTCCTTTCTGAATCAAGTGCAAAAGTTCCATGCCTTTCAGGTTGCCTATCATCACAGCGACTATATTTTCTGTTCCCTGGTGAGACATGGGAAAGACTTTGTTGCCCGTACCTGGATAATTATAGATGATCACCCCTTTTGCTCCCTTCTCTGCTGCCACGTTGATCTTATGTGTAAAAGTACAGCCTCCCCGTTCAATCAGTGCCAGCCACGAGTCTGCCTGTTCAGGCCTGCTGAAATTGGTCAAAGGATTACAAGCATTCTGATTCCATCCTTCAGGAAGTACCACGGCACCAGACGCCCTTTCCAGAGGAGAATGATTCCCGAACACTCCGCTCTCTCCTAATTCTGATATAATCTGACTTCCCACCCGAAATGTTATATTCAGGTGAGCTGTCCAAATGGCTTTTCCTTCTGAGTCAGGAAGGCTAAGCAGTAGAAAGATGGTAAGCTTTAATAGTTGATTTGAAAAAGAACTATGAGTTGAAGGAGTAATTCTAAGTAGGTTCATTCTTCCATTTGCCTATTAACTAACAAACATGAAAAACAAAACAACATTAGTTGTAAAAGAAAGTAAAAGCCAGCTTCAGTTGTCGGCAGTAGATTGCTAAAGTACATAAATGGAAAAGGTCTTCATGGAATCAAAGCTATCTTGCTCCTTCCAGCATTTTTATTTTTGGTAGATTACCTTTCTTATAATGAAACAAAATAACAAGAGTGGCTATTTGTACCATGTATTTCAAGAAAATTATGACTTCCTAATAGGGAAATTGTGACATCAGAGGTAGTTAAGCCAATCTAAGAGTTTATATTAGTGCACTGCATACCGAAATCTTATTGGTCAAAAACCTACTAAGCAATGAGGCAAGATATATAATAATTTGAATAAACTTTAAAGCAATAAATAAATAGGTAAGACTTTTTTTTTTAAAGCTTTGAGTTTCTGGTTCCAGACAGATTGAAAATCTATCTATCCACTTAACACTATTTGGTTTTCTATCTGTAAGGCAAAGATAAAAAATCATTCCTGTGTTAGCACTTACGTTGTTGGCCTGGTATAGTCCCATTTTCAAGGCAAATTCAACTTCGTTCACTGACATAGCTTCTGAGAACCTACTATGCGCTAGTCATACATGAAGCAGGGAACATATATTGGAGAAGAAAAGAGACCTAATCCTACTATTGTGGAGACTAAGGATTTTGGATGATATCCCAAAGACAAGAGAAACACACCGTAGGGTTCTAAGCCTGGCAAGTGACTTAAATGTATTTCAAAATGTTCACTTTTTAAAAAGTACACCCTGGCTGCTTTATGGGGAAAATGGATTGGAGGAGGAGAAGAATAATGTGGTGAAATGAGCTTAGGCAACAGAAGATAGTGGCTTGGACTCCTGAAGTCGCAGTAAAGATGTAGAGACATAGACAAGTCTGAGAGTTATTGTAAAGGTAGAATTAACAGACTTAGTAATTGGAAAGGTAGCAGTGGGTAGAGGAAAAGATGAACAATCACAAATCACCATATGACTTTATTTTTGCAAACTGTAGAATCTTTACTGCTTTAAAGATGCTTTAAATGTCTACTTTTATTTTAAATCTTTACCTAAAGCCTCTTACAGTGAGTCAATAAATTGGCAACACTCACTCCAGTATTTATTATCTACCATGTATAGGTAATCTATGTATGCAGCATGCTGCAAAGCCCTAGCAAAAAGACCCTGTTACCTACTATGCAAAATGGACATAAAAATTTAAATCACAGACATTGGGAGAGTTTTGTCATTTTGGCAAAAGCATTTATTGTACTCCCTGGCCCATAATATCTTAGTTAATATTAGCTTTTATAAAATAAAATGGCAATCAATCTACTTGTCCCATGCATACAAGTTTGTTCAGGCATGATTCCATTCACATCTGAACTGTCCTCACAGGTAGACTTTTCACATGTTCAAATGGAGTGTGAATTCCTGGATAATCTACTAACGCTGAAAATTGAAGACTCACTAAGAAGCCAGTTCAACATCATCACATTACAGGCTATTTGATAAATTGATGTTTATTTAAACTTTGGGGGTGGGATTAAAAAATAATGTAATTTTGACTTTGCTTTTTTAGTTCACTGATTTTTTTAAGGGTGAAAATTTAATCAGTAACTGTATTTGAGCTCAAAACATACCTCAAATCAAAAGGTTCTTTCCATGGTTGAAAAGACCAATTTGAAGAACTTACTAATTTATTCTATTTTTCTCACTACCAATATATAAGGCAACGATAGAACTCCCCTCTCTTCTTCCCTAGTC